ACACCATCAAGCAGTCCTCCACCTTGGCCTCCAAGAACACCATCAAGTGGTCCTCCAACTTGGCCTCCACTCAACCCTCCTAGGACATCTTTACTCACACCTCCAGTAAGTCCTTGAAGCAGGTCATCTTTGGTCAGGGCATTTGAGAGTACTGTAGAGGATTGAGAACAATTATTACAGGAGTTAGATTAAATTGAAACTCGGTCTCTTAGCTGTCGTTACTAGCAGCTGAAGTATAGTTTAGCTGAAGTTTCTAAAGTTATTCTTGATTTTTCTTAGTCTTCCATCCCACACCCCTGTCTCTGTCTTTGACCAAAATCACCTTTATTGATATAGCAAAGCCAGAACATTTGATACATCTTGCTACAATTCCCAAAAGGTTAACATTTCCTTTTTAAAACAAGGTATCGGTCTTCACAGATATAGAGATAAGTCTGAAAATGTGTTGGGAAAATACATTGAACGGCCCCTAAATTCTGAGATCCTGTCCCCCAGCTACAGAATTGAGTGTGGCCCCTACCAGCACAAACTCCTGCAAAAGATTTTCTGTAGCACCTTCCAACTCAACTTGGATGAAAAAAGACGTTCTGAAGAAGTTCAGGAGAAGAAAGCCACCCACATTGCTCTGCTCTTCAGCACTTGGGCGGAGATGGACCTACAGTTTAGTCTTAGAACCAGATTTCCATGATGGGCCACCGAGACACGGTAGACTTTCCCAGACCCTCCATAAGGAGAACTTTGAACAATCAGCAGAGGTTCTTCTGCCTATGAAATTTTTGGAACAGACTGGAATGTTTGTAGAAGATGGACGGGCAAGATACTCAAGATGACAGTTGAATCTGTATAGATTGTCAGTCAGTCATCCAGGTCATGCTTGTCCTAAAGGTGATTTTTCAGGAGGCAACTGGAGTTTCTTTGTTTTTCTTTAAAGATGTTTCGCTTCTCCTCCAAGAATCTTCTTCAGTTCTGAGAACTGGACTGGACTGAAGAAGCTTCTTGGATGAAAAATGACACATCTTCAAGGAAAAACAAGGAAAGTCCAGTTGGCTCCTAAAACGACCTTTGGGATGACAGTTGAGTGCGCATAAAAAGGAGTAAGGGTTCACTCATGCTGTTTTAAGCACTATCTTGACTTCAGGGATCAACTGATGTAGCCCAGGGAGTATTCCTTGGTGCTTTCTGAGCTTGGCTGATTTATTACAGATATTTCATTATGCAAGTAGATTCAACCCAACCTTCTAGCACTGATGATGTTACCTAGTTAGGTAATGAAATGTCTCCAAGAAAGCTCCTGGAGTACCAAGGACCCCAGAGTCCTCCTCCTCCTCCACCTCCTCTTCCATCTCTTCTTCCTCCTCCTTTTCCTCCTCTTCCTCCTCCTCTTCCTCTCCACAAACCCCACTCCCTTCTAGCATTGATGATGTACCTAGTTGGGTCATGAAACATCTGCAAGAAAACAATCAAGCTAAGAGAACATCAAGGGACTTCAGAGTCCTCCTCCTCCTCCTTCATTCTACAAATCCCCCTCTCTTGTAGCACTGATGATATTACCTAGTTGGGTAATGAAATTTCTGCAAGAAAACCCCCAAGATCAGGGAGTCATCTTGATTTTTTGTCCACTTGCCTGAAGAGGACCTTGGGAGCATAGGTCCACATTAGTGGAAGACACTCAATCTGGAAAAGGCTGTCCCATAAAAATCTGAGGCAAACTTATAATTGGATTTCCCCATCCAATAGACCCTTCCATTCTCTATGGTCTCCCA